TATTTAAAATGAGATGTTTATCCTATATTTGATTGTGTTTATCTGCAGTTAGTTACACGAATTCAGTTATGGGATGAAATCGGATAGGGATGAAATTGTTTAGGGATGAACGAGTTTAAGAGTTTTAAGAGTTTAAGAGTTTTTAAGAGTTTAAGAGTTTTTAAGAGTTTTAGTCAAATGCTTTATAATATAGTATAGATATATGTATATATGTCTTTGTGCTTTTCTTTTATATATTTTTGTGTATTACTCATATGTTGTGTACGAAAACATTTCATTATAAATATATATTTTAATAATCGACGATGCTGCAATTTTTGGGATTATTTTAAACGTTTTAAACTTTTGGATTTTGTAACAATTGCTACATTTTACACAATGTTTCATTTGATTTAAATTAAATTATTTGGAAAAAAAAATAGACAATGTTGAAACAATATGTGTTGGTATTGCCTTTTTCCATAAAACCAAAAAAATATTAGTTAATGATTAATTTTTATCATACTTAATATTGTATTTCACAAACAAATGAAATATATCATTTCTTCGTTTGTATGATTGATTGGCATGACATAAATAAACAAAGGCATAATACACAACTCATGGAAACAAACGACAAGTTGAAATGAAAATTGAAGGGAGCACGTTCATATGGAGTCGTTTCGTCTTGGTCTACTATGTTTGCATTCACCAATCAAGTTAAAGTTTCAAGTCAACATTGACTGCTAAATTATTAGGGCAATTGATGACGTGATGTTGATTTTGGATCCAATAAACTTTTTAAGCGGGTCCGTTTTAAGTTAAAGTTTCACGACTTCATTTTTGGAAAGTCAATGCGGTTTAATCCCCTCGGTCCTCTGTAGGTCTGCCCATGTCTTGTTAACAAATTCATAATCAAGTCAAAAGACTCCAAGTTTGTTAATTAATACCCTGAAGTGAAAAACATTTAGTCATCTCAATAACTTCTAAATTAACTTAACTACATGTTAACATGTATTGGTAGCCTACATTTAAGGGTTATAGGGAGCTTAAACAAAAATCATCCTCATGAACTTGTGTTAAAATGGATCTGAATATTTCTCCTCAAGATATGTTCAAATATTTATATCTCTGCTTAATGGCTCTTTTAAAAAGTAATATATTAGTTTTTATCTGGTCAATAACCATGAATAAACCGAAAGACAAATGATAAAATATAATCAATAGGTACTACTTAATTTCAACATCATTCCAAAAAAGTGTCTTTCCATTCATACAGCACCTGTTTCTTATCAGGCCACTATATATGTTTAAATATAGAAAACCATTCATTAAGAACACCACAAGAAGCTTCTTGGAGAATTTTTTGACCATCTACATGTAAAAAGGCTCATGAAAAACCATTTTTTTGCTTGTTTATTTACAAGCTTTCAATAAGCTTTTTTTTTTTTTTGCTGGTGGGTCTCACTTGTTTGAAAAAAGCTCTAATAAAAATCCATTGTTAAAAAAGAATAAAAATCTTCTTTCACATTGCAAAGAATATATGGGACCCCATTATATTAGTATCCAAAAGATTAAGGACAATTGAACCAATTCTAACCAGCCAATGTAGGACTCTAACACCCAGAGTGTCTAATCCAAAAGCTGTGCTGTGATGAGGGCTTGGTGGGCCTCTGGTGAAGAATGTCGTGCAGGAAAGGATATGAACCTTCTTTCACGATAGCCTCTAAACAGATCTCTCCATCTCCTCGTGACTCACTTTGGAATGACTAGTGAAAATGACATTTGAAAGTGGATTATTAGTCCACTCTCAAAAGTCTTTGTCATGCCTTATAAATTATGTAATATTATTATTCTCCTTGGTGCATACTGCATAAACTAAATTTTCAGAGTAAAGGAACAAACTGAAAAGCAAAAGAAGACATATATGAAGCAAGTTGAAGACTGGCAGCAGTCGTGGCGGCTGGCCAGCATGGTGTTGGTGGTGGTGCTCATGACCATGGCGGTTCCGGTGACATCACAGCCAAGTGATAGAAATAGCACGCTGATGAGATATTACTGTAGTCAGTATAAAACGATGCATGAGAAGTATTTCTTGAGCAACCTTAACGCCACCCTCTCTGACCTCCGTCGCCAGATATCCATCAGCAAGTTTTCCGCGGCTCGCACTTTGCTCAATGGTGAGTCTGTGTGGGGCCTTGCTTGGTGCAGGGCATATCTTTCCATCCCAGATTGTCTGGATTGTTTCGACTATGGTGTTGCTCAGCTAAAATCATGTGGGCTTGGCAATGGTGCTCATGTTATTTACAGCGACTGCGATGTCAGGTGCATATGTGCATATGCTTTTTAGATTTAATTCTTCTAATTTGTGTATGCTTTAATTTAGTTTTGCTGCTACTTTTGCTAAAGTTCCTCCATTACTAATTAGAGCTCATGCTTTGATGTAGGTACGAGAACAATAACTTCTACACTGAGGCTAATAATCGGGCAGGTGTGGTTGTATGTGGCAACATAACATCATCTGAGCCAGCAGAGCTCAGAAAAGCGGCAGAAGGGTTGTTATTAGACCTTCAAATTGCAATACCGAGAACACCGAATTTCTATGGAGCTTCAACAAGGAAAGTAGCTGCTAGAAATGCTACCGTCTATGCCATTGCTCAATGTAATCTAAAAGTAAGCCAGAGCGTTTGTCTAGAATGCTTACAGTTGAGATCCACATCTCTATATGATTGCATTCCTAATACTGATGGGCGGGCAATGGATAATGGATGCTTTATGCGGTATTCCACAACTCCATTTTTCGGGCAAAACCAGACAACTGATATTCAGTCTTTTCTTTGGGATGGTAAGACCTCTGCTCTTCTAGAGACTAAAACTGTTCTTTTTCCATGTTAGTAGATTTTCATAACCACCAGTTTGATAGAGAAATAATACTCTTCTAACATGTACCACACACAAAGTAATTAGTTTCTCCTTTATGTCAATCAATAGGAACTTAGGAATCAAGCTATTGCAAGTCTCGATATCAGATCAAACACAAGCACAATGAACACCAGACTTAAAATCGCCTCTGTTCACACTTTGTCCAAATCCGATCACCACCCTTCATATAAGACCCACTAATTAGGAACACACCTGTAAAATTTCAGCTCAATCACACAAGGTTTGCTTGTCGATCAGACCACGTGATCAAAGCTCAGGAAACGGACCTACTCTTTGGGGTATGGTTGCCGGTGAAACTACAAAATTGCCGGGATTAGTCGGGCTTTGGACCGGACACCCTTCCAAAAAAAAAAAAAAAAGTGTAAATTACGCTGTTAGAAAGGTATTATCGACCATTTTAAAATGAGTTTAATATTGAACATTTTATAATTATGTAATTTTTTACCGTTAATAAATAAAAGAGTAAATTACGTTTTTAGTTCATGTGGTTTGTTGAAAATTTCTATTTTTGTTCTTATGGTTTTTGAAATTATGATTTCCATCACTATATTATATAATTCATTATCTTTTTTGTCCTTATGATTTAAAATTTATTGTTTTTTTCATCTCTACGATTTACAATTAATTTCTATTTTAGTCATTCATGCCTAAAACTAGTGTTTTGGCCTCAAAGACGAAAATAAAAATGAATTGCAAATCGTAAGAACTAAAATCGAGATTTCGAAACCACAGGGACGAAATCCGCATTTTTTTAACAAACCACATGGACGAAAAACATAATTTACTCTAAACAAAAATAGTTTATTTTTGACGTTAGTAACATGCGTCTATGATAAATGCAATATTTAATTTTCAATAATTAAATACACATTTGTCTGGATATTTGTTATTGATCCTTCTTGAATTTTCTAATACAATTTAACGTGAATAACAAGGTGAATTTTTTTATAAAATTTAACGTAAATACAAATTTCTTAATATAGTCTTTTTAGTTAGATTAATTTGTTCATATTGATGTAATAATGTTAACATAATAACATGCATGTTAACCAACTCTTTTGAGTTTTTTTTTGGGGTGTTTTTGGAGTTATTTGTTTAAAGTTAATTCTAGATTAATGTTTAGACTTAAGGGTTAATTTGTGAGTTTAGGACCAACTATCTACATTAACTTGTTTATATTTAGGGTTTATTTGTTTATATTTGAGGTTAATATATTGTATCTCGATCCAATCATGTAGAATCACGTTGGAAATGCGCTAACAATCAATTAGTTTTAAAGTATTAATTGATTATTTATTGAATAATTTTTAGTGAATTACATATTAAATTTTTATTTAATCGAACCAAAATAGCAAAAACGGAGTCCGTATAATAATTTTATACTTATCTTTTAAGTTTTTTATATTACGATAACTATTTTGTTATACCACCGCAAACAAAAAAAAAAAAAAAAAAAAAAAAAAAACCATGGATTCGCAGCTGAAACCCTTGGATAAAAATCTGGAAACCCATGAATATTTTTCATATCTGTGTTTTACAGATGATTCCAGCAAGAAGAGATCATATATAATTGGGGGAGTTATTGGAGGTGTAAGCTTTCTGTTGCTTCTACTTGCATTTTTCTTATGGCATCGCAGATCAAAGAAGATGGGTAGAGACCAACAAGGTAAATACAAGATGTACAAACTAGCATATATGGACTTTTACTGTTTTATTCTTTTAACTTTTGTCTAACTGATATTTTACATGCCCTCTAGAACATAAATACCCTTCCTGACTGTTTCTATGCCAATTTTTGGTTTTCCAATTGCTAGATAGATCAACAGTATCAACCCAATTGCTGCAAGGTCCGGGAACATATAGCTACAATGATTTAAAAGTAGCCACAAATAATTTCAGTGATGAGTGCAAACTTGGAGGAGGGGTGTTTGGTGAAGTATATAAGGTATCATGTTCGTCAAAATATATATATAACTTTCGAGTATAATATGGTCATTTCCTTCCATTTTGTTTGTGTATGGTGACACGATGCAGGGAACTCTCAAGGATGGGAATGCGGTTGCGATTAAAAAAACCTTTATGGCCTCTAGTGGAGGAAAGAAACACTTCCATGATGAACTTAAGATCATAAGTAATGTTCATCACCGGCATCTTGTACGTCTTCTAGGATATTGTACCAAAGGCACCCACTTATTTCTTGTCCATGAGTACATGGAAAATGGTAGCCTTGATCAATTCTATGGTGAGTCGAGACATTTTATTTATTTCTTGAGCGTTTAGATTTGCAACTATTTTTATCTCCTATTAGCGGCTAGTAAATCCATTTTTACCCTAAACAGGTGACAGAGCAAGGACTCTAAACTGGAAACAAAGGTTTGAAATAATATTTGGGACAGCAAGGGGCCTTGCATATCTACATGAACAGTACCATGTTACGATCATCCATAGAGATATAAAAACAAGCAACATTCTACTTGACAGTGAATTTCAGCCCAAAATTGCAGATTTTGGGCTGATGAGACTACTACCAGAAGATAAGACTCATCTCAGCACCGAATTTGCAGGGACTTTGTATGTTTAAATCAATACATATACATTTGCTGCTAACTCTCTTTTCTCTCCCTTGATCAAAATGTATTCTCAATAACATTAGTTAGTCTTACTATACCAGGAATCATTACCTAGCACCCGAATATGCCATTCATGGACAATTATCTGAGAAAGTTGATACATACAGCTTTGGCATTGTGGTCCTTGAAATCCTTAGTGGAAAGAGGTACAAGGATGCCATAGATGATAAATCAGCGACACAAAGCCTCCTTGATCATGTAGGTTATTTAGAAATAGGGATTGATTCCTTTAAACCATTTTATTTATTCATGGTTTTAATGAGGTGGTCTATTCGAGATGCAATGGTGGGTACGCTACTTAAGTAAGTTCTCACTAACCTTTCTATTGTTATGTCTATGACAGGCTTGGAATCTGTACGAGAATGGTACACATTTGAATCTAATGGATGACAAAATAGATCCTAGTGAATATGCAGATGAAGATGCAACAAAAGTCATAGAGATAGCATTGATATGCACTCAGTCACCAGTTTCAGCTAGACCTGCAATGTCTGAAGTGGTTACGCTTTTAAGTGACAAATCACTTGATGAAAGACCACCAGTAAGGCCTACCATTTCGGACGATGAGGTGAAGATTCAAGTTGCTAGCATAGAATCATCCGCCTCCAATGCGACTGCCTCCACCGTTCAACTTTCAGGCCGCTAAATTTTCAATTTCTACAATATTGTCTAGTTTTAAATTATGTGGATGTATACAATAAGATCATCACAAATAAAGTTCATGCCATTCCGCTCTAACAAGATGAATCTTTCCGGCCGTCAGTGTTATCTCCTTTCGTCAATACATAAGTGATTACTTCCTTCGGCAATCCGTTTGTGAATAAAGTTTATCGCAAATCGTTAGGTGACATTGAGTTATAGTGATTCATCTTGGAAGGAGCCATTCGGCAATCCGCCGGAGATATATATCCTTCCAGGATCAGTAGGTGAAAGTTGTACCCACAAAAGTTTCACCCGCAAATCATCGAACGATGCCACTTTCACCGACAGATTACCAAAAGAAAGCCTTTTGTATTCTACTACCTGAAATGGCACAAATGAACTTGGAGGATAATAAGAAGAAAATGCAAACAAGAATAAAAGAATATTGGACTTGGATAAAAACACGTTCCTTTGACCAGTCATATAGCGGGCGACCTTTCTTGCGACCTTGGGTCGCGTTGACCAAGTCATCAGCGTCCTTTTGAACGTATATCACATGTGATTTTACTCATGTAAGCACATGTGATTTAGCCATTACCATTTGATGTCTCTCTCTCTCTCTCTCTATATATATATATATGTATATTATAAGTAGGGTTGGGTTCATGTGACACCAACCGGCTTTCATGAAACTGGTGAGACCACATTTTTACACTTGAAACTTCACAACAAAACATTGTTAAGGTAAAAAAAAAATCTGAACATTCACACAAACATTATGAAAGTTACGTTAATAGTGTTTTGCTGTGAAGTTTTAAGTATAAAAAAAGTTGTCTTACGGGTCTCACGGGACCTGTTCTCACATGATTCTAAGTCTCTCTCTCTCTCTCTCTCTCTATATATATATATATATATATACACACATGCAAGCACGCACGCGCGCGCCCACGCACGCACGCACGCACACACACACACACATATATATATTGGGAGGACGATCAAACATGATTTAATCAAACGAGAACAAAAGAAAGGCAAAATCACATGTGAGTTTAATCAAATGCGATTTAGTCATTCTTGTGTTCAGTTATTTGGTAATTATTTTTGTTTGAAACCAAATCTATATATGGGGAGGATCAAACGTGAACTATGGATATACATATGTAGACAAGAAAAGTTAAAGTGAGAAGGGATCTGTACCTTTTATTACTTCTAATCTCAAACCCACCCGTGAATTACGCTTGATACGGGATTAATCCGGTGCATCTTGACGCATCTTATTCTAATGTGCATCCAATGGTGGAGATATCTTTTTAAAATTTTCACCATAATTTTCATTCTAATCGGAACCTAACACTACATTGTGAAACAAATATATGTTAAACAATATATATATATATATATATATATAGAGAGAGAGAGAGAGAGAGAGAGAGAGAGAAAAGATCAAATGTTAACCAACAATTTTGTGTTAACTTTGTAAACCATGTCAACCAATCAAATTACATTCTTCTAGTAGGTTTATGTCATGTTCACAATTTAATTACAAGGGTAATTCAGTAAATTGATTTGATATGTAACTCCCAAACAATTAATGGGGAGTTACAAATCATCAAATCCCAAAAAAAAAATATTTATAATATTAACATTTTTTATAAAAATTTTGATATTTCATGTTCATTGTTTTTTGAGTTTTTAATTCACATAGGAAGCACAGTAGTAAAATTTTCGGTATCGATCAAGCTAACATAGCTAAACGCAATGGAAAAGAAATCGACAACAGTGAGAAGATTAAAATGGTTTATGATAACAATCGGAGTTCGAGGTCGGGAAGTGAAGAAATTAACCAAAACGAATGTCTTGGTAATAAATTAATATTTTTATTAGATTCGTTTTAATCAAAATTATGTTCATTACGATGTGTTGTGTTTTTTATAATTTATCTTGTATTGATAGTTTTTTTTTTCTTAAATTGCACAATGTGTTCATAGCATAGATGTTATGTGTTCATGTATTTTATACGATATGAACAAGGAGTGAACACGATATGAACAAGGGGTGAACAATCACATAAGACCAGAAACATATATGAACAAAGGATGAACAATCACATAAGACCTGAAACATATATGAACAAGGAGTGAACTTTAAACGGTGTGGATGCAAAGCATGTATAAAACTCCAATTGACAAAGGATCGCTCTTTAATGTGTTTATAATGAAGGAACTATTGTTCACAAGCTGTTCATATTGTGTTCATACCTGTTTTATTTATTTATTTATTCCCTTTTATATAGCAATTATTCTTATTATGTTCATATTGTATTCATAAATGTTATGCTATGCGGTCCAAGTTCATATATATATATATATATATATCAATTTGTTGTTCGTATTTGACACAATGGTTTATATATATATATGTAGTTGTGTTCATATGGTTTTTATATTAACAAAAATAAATTAACAAAAATTATAGAATTTTTTGATTTTGTAACTCGCAATTAATGATATGGAGTTACAAAATTTTTTTTACCTAAATACCTTTTTCAACTTTGTTCACTTATCTTTAAGAATTTTTAAATTTAAAAAAAAAAGTTTTTATCATGATTAATCATAACCGTTTATTGAAAGATTGAATGGTCAAGATTGGTTAGCAAAGTTAACACAAAAACTTTGGTTAACATTTGAATCTGGCCATATATATATATATATATATATATATATATATATAGGGCCAGAGAGAGAGGAGGTTTATTTTGCAAACCATGTTATTTGTACAAACCGTACAAATTGCATTCAACCAATCATAATTTTCCATTTTGTTGATTTTTTTGTAATTATGATAGATTGATTAATCATTTTTATTATGGAGTGTATCATCTTCATTATATTAATTTTAGAAAAATACATGAAACAATTTCATTAAAATTTCATAAGTATTATATGAAACAATTTCATAACCATATATGAAACAACTTCATCAAAAAAGGTATTATATTAAACAATTTCATAAGATTAAATAATTCCATGAAAAAAATTCATAAGATTAAACAATGAAATCGACGGATGAGGATGGTTTGCACGGTTTGTACAAATAACATGGTTTGCATTTGATCGCTCATCTCTCTCTCCCTCTCTCTCTCTCTCTCTATATATATATATATATGTATCATACTTAAATGGTAAAAAATCACGTGAAACAAACGTTAAGATAGAAGTTCTCATTGGTCTCACAAATTTTAAAGTTCTCAAATGATTAAGCTCATATATATATATATATAAACAATAAGGTTAAAATGATGTTTATTGATGATGCGCAAAGGAAATAAAAAGATTACTTACAAAACCATTTGTCATTCGTATTAAGTTTTAGGTCTTTTTCATGTTTATTTCTTAATGCAATTAAATAAGAAAATATGACATGAATTATTCAGTTGTTAATAATTAATTAGACAACTTATTGTAAGTTTATATTCCATCGTGTCTAATTGCAACTTGCAAGACAAAACAATTATGGCATATATTAATAAGAAAATGGAATAATCAACTGATTAAGGAAAATAATCAAATGCATAAAAAACCAATTAAAGCAATTAAGGAATCTAGTGCATATATAATACCAAGCAAAGCAATTATGGAATCAAATGGATATAAAATGTCTAAAACCTGCACATGTTGTTGCGGTCAACTGAGTTGATAAAACCACTACTTGAATCTAGATTTACATACGGTTCCAAGCTAAAACTGGAGGCCCTAAAACACTGCAATTAAGTAGAATCTTGTGCTATGCATTGGAATCCTTATAAAACAATGAATAACTCAAACAATACATGAAAATATTTGAATTTTCTTTTCCTTCTTTTTTTGCTCTACAAAAATAAGATGTTAAGATTAAAAGTTTATGAAGCATGACAAACACCGGGAAATTCACTTAATACATTAGCTGACAAATTTCATTGATTAATCACAAAACCATGAAACACATTACACTTAATAACTCATAAGAACAATAATTAGATCGTCAAACAACAATTCAATATGAACTATCGAAGCAAAATTAGATAGCAATAGCCTAGAAAAGCAATTACACAAACCAGACAAACAAATGGAAATAGTTAATAGAAACAAAAGTAATTTAAATAGTCAATAATGGGAAGAATTTAGTGAAAGATTCATAGATATATCTACAGATATAAAATGTAGTTAAATATTCACCGGAGTATCTAGACGAGGAGGTGGTATAAGACTTGTAAAGGGGTAGAAGCTTCCAACAGTCCTACTGTGGATAGGTTTCTCATGGTAGAACCAATGCTAAAGAAGCCAAATAAAATACAGTGTCATGGAATTAATGTTCACTACATTTCTCTCCTCTCCTATCCTATCTGTAAAACATCTTCATCAAATATAAACTACAAAGACCTCGCTCCTCTTTCTGGGCAAGTGCATTTGAATGAAGACAGTGTTCATCTCACATGAACTTGGGAGATTGTTGAGAAATGTTAGGAGAGAATGTAAAAAAGAAACTTTTGTCAGTACTGAGCAAATGAGGTGATTGCATAAGGCAAAAAGGACCATCATTCTCTCACTCCAGTCAATAAATTTCTTGGTAATCCCATTTTTAAAAGGCTGCAACAACACTTCTACTAAGGCATGGAGATCTTTTTGGATTATTTCACTTTGTCTGGGTAATTATAAACAATTGAGGAGAGAGAAGAAAGTTTGAGTAACGCATGCGAGGATACTTAAATAGTTCTTCACTCTTTCAAACCATGTTTTGATCATGTTGTGGTGCCCAGAAGACATATATGATATAGTGTATGGCCATTGATCAAGTCATGGGTTCCAGACAAGTCCATAAAGAGAAATTGAAGAAGAGGAAGGAGAAAGAACCCTTGAAGCAAGATTTATATTCAAACCTCTTCTTCAATAAAATTGAGAAACAATGTAAGTGTGGCAAAGGCCAAGGGCGGTGAAATCGTTGTGCTATCCGAGGCCATGGACAAGGAATAGAGGGCTAGACACAAGCAAACAACAACAGCCGAAGTTTTCAAGCTACAAAAGGTTGTGGGAGAAGTATGGTCACTATGCTTGTTGGAGGGATGGAGAGGGATTTCTCATGGAAAGCACAGATGGCCTTTTCAATTTTCTGAAAAATCCCTCAGGTACTGAGGAAACAAATTCAAAATATGTATAACCATTAAGAACCCAGAAGCATTAATATTGAACTTGAAATGAAATCCAAGCTCTGGGATCATCAACATATCACCTTCATTATTATTTATGATGAACAAAAACAAAAATCAAGAAGAAATAAAAAAATTAAAGCCATATCTCAATAATGGGGTCTGTTGATCGGAATCATGGATGAGTAGATGTAGCAGATGAGCATGAAACTCTTAATTTTTTTCTACCTGTGTCATAAATTAGTAAGAACTCAAAAGCTCCTCCAACAAATCAGATCCTAAATCTTCTAACACCAATAAATTTGTCCGCTGTTTCTTTTCTTTTGAATTCAAGGACGACGACTTTTTTCGACGCTTGTGCATCTCCTTTAAAGCGACTGCTGGAGATCCCTCAACCTTGCTACTGCAGCACTTGATTCCTTTCAAGGACTCCTTCACAGTCTCAACAGAGAAATTTAACGAAGATGAAACCCCCCTCATTGAATATGATGCTTGATCATATGCCAATGCCGCTTCCTCTGCAGTATTGAATGTCCCCAACCAAACTCTCTTCCCATTTCGGGTTGAATCCCTGATCTCTGCTGCAAATTTTCCCCATGGCCGCTTTCTGACACCAATGTATCGCCTTACCTTCTCACCTTCTTTTCTATCTGCATTTGCGAATTCTTCGTATGTGAAATACTCGAAATTCAATTGCTGAGAGGATGTTAAAAGTGCCATATTTAGGTAATGAATTTTGCACAAATGTACTGAAAGTGCTTTGCAAAGACTTTTTGTGAAAGAGCGTGTGTTTTGGAGAATTTATATTGTTGTAAACAGCAGCAAGTTGACAATTTATTAAATTTGTGGATCCAAGAACATAAACAAATGAATGAACTATGATTAATATGGGAATTAATAAATAGAAAAAGAGAACAAAAATCTAGCGATGGCTTGTTACAATGTCTGTTATGTGCTTATATTTTCCTGACGAAATTGGTCATATGCAGTTTAGTACGAGCTCCATGCATGCAACAAAAAGTTAACCATGCACATGGTAGTATAAAACAAATTCGCTTTTGATGAAATGCTTTCCCATAATTAACAAAATTAATATTGGAATCAGGTGGATCATAAAGAACATCAATAATAATAATAATGACCATAACAATTAGGTACTTTTAAACCTCTGTATTCCTCAATACAAACTAATCTACTTGTCTACGTGCCAACCAATTAACGATCTAAGCTTGTAAAAGTAGATGGATCGAGGACTTGCAAATTCTTAAAACTTTCAGCTCTTGTAATAATCAATGTGTTTGGGAGTGGGCAGCCGACCTTTCCTATATAGCAAAACGTTAATAATAGGTAACGATAAATGCCAACTTCTAATATATATTTTTTCTTTCTTCTGATGTTGGTATTCTACTACCTTTTTTTCTCTCCTTTCTTTATATTTTCTGTGTGGTTTTACTTTTGTAGTACTTTGCTTTTACCAACTTGTGCATAATTTCCGTTTAATGAAATACTCGTGCCTTAATTAAAAAATGGTTCCTAAAAGTTCTTTTTGTTCAAGTGGCAAATCCAAACTTCGTTACTTTTAATTAAGTTTTATATTTTGAACCTTCAAATTCTTTGATTTATCTCATCAAAACTTCTTTTTCATCGTTCTAAATGGTCCTCCTGAGAAGGATGCAATTTCGGTCCTCGTGATGAGGATAGAAACACGCAGAGAAATTAAGACATGACGACAGATAAAAAAAAATCATGGAAGAAAAAGAATATAGGCTGGTTATCCAACATCTTGTGCAGAGGAAGAGTTGGCAAGTTTGTTTGTCCAATGAAGAGATGCAATGTTACCGGTCACTGTTGCAAAAGATTTTTAAAATGATTCCAAGTCACAACTTCATAAACAATGGACCACTAGGGGACCGCAAAGATTCAAAAGAGGCCAATTTTTTTTTTTAATTAACCACGTGTGGTTTTTGCATTTGGTTGCAAATTAATGCCTCCAATTCAACAATGAAGGCATACACCACTACTGCAAGTCGGTTTAGGAAGTCGACTTGAACAGGGAAGAAACTCTTGCCACAATATGAGCAAGTAGAACACAACACGGACGCTCTTACCAACGCGACTTATATGGCGATCAAACAAAAAAGTTATGAAGACACTGTGGAGTGCCATATATGTAAAAACCAAATAACAATACAAGTTGACCAAAAAAATGTATGTGAAGTTTGTCCCTCCGGAAATCCAATAGAGTAGACATTGAAACCAAAATTAGTATATATTTAACAGTAGACATGATATAGAGCCCCCTACCAGGAATGCTACTATATTAGTTGTCTAAGAAATGGATGAAAAATAAATAACTTATATATCCTATGGGCCACTATGTGATTAAAAGATACAGAAGAAGCTAATCAATATTTTATCAATCAGCACGAGGCTTAAATGCAGTCTGTTGAAAATTCTTTGAATTCACCGTGGAAGGCATATGCCACCATTATGTAAGTTGTTTTGGGAAGTCACCTTGAAATGGGGAGAAACTCCAGGTACTATGTGTGCAAGTTTGAGTGCAGCATCAAACATCCCTTACAATATCAGACAAGAGTGTCTTGTTGGGTTGGGTTATCCCCCCCCCCCCCCCCTTTTTTTTTTTGAAATAGCAGCCAAAAATATCATTCAAAAGAAGGCTAGCAAGCAACTAGCAACAAAAAAACCGGCATTAGAAGGTTTTTATACGGTCAGAAGGATAACATCTCCATACAATTGAGTTTTTATTGCTCTCCTTACACCTAGCCAGGACCCAACTAAAAGACTTCTCGACGATGAGATCTGGAATAGTATGTAGGATATAGCAAAGCAAGAAAGTTGTATATCGAGTAATCGTCAGTGATAATTATTGAAAAAAGACTATATAGGAAAATAAAAGAGTAACATAAACTTGACAAGGAAGCTGAAAGACTAAAATGTGAGAAATAAACTCTCCGAAAAATAAAACTCGAATTAATAGGGAGTCTCATGAGATCCTAAGGACCACCAAGCTTTGAATCATTCAAGATTTAACACATTCTTCAATACTCCCCTTTGATTCAAAGTTGATGATGCACAGTTGATGTCAGGTCTAAGTTCTTCAAACCTGGCTTGAGGAAGAGCTTTAGTGAATATATCTACTAACCGATGTTTTGACTTGCACGGTACCAGCTTCATTCCTTTTGAAGATGATATTATCGCCACCGTGCAACGCGCGGCAACACTAGTATTAGGTAATAAGAAGTCAATAACGTATGAAAAAAACAAAGGTTGAAACCTTAAATATAGATATAAATTGGACCGTCTCATATGGTTGATAACTTTTTGTTCTTCCAAATTTAGAAGTTATCTTAATTAATAACAAGAAATCTACTATATTCTAATGTAAGAATATAATTCATGCGAACATAATATAAAAAAAGTTAGTGGGAGATGAACGATAAATAATATATCAAGGTTTTATAGAAAAGTAGTTTTAGACTTTCATAATAGATAAAAAAAAAAACTTGCAGAAGCACTAAGCCTATAGAATGAACGACCAATTAACTTTTTCACATATTAATTTTCCAATGTACTTAATTAATACATGTTTGAGCCTTTAATATAATACAAAATTCTTTCCGGCTCACTGGAAGGGAAAAGGACCACCATCTCTCTAAAAATCTCTAAACCTTCAAGGCATTATGACATTCGAATAACAGGTGTTAGCATAGTTTCATTATCTGTTCTACACACCGGACAAAGGGTAGACTCAATATCCACCTTTAACTTGATTAAGTTGTCTTTGGTTGTGTTATCCGTAAGAGCATGCATGACAATTGTCATGCTGGAGAAAGAAGTGAATTGGTCGAGTACTGCACACTTGCTAATTTCATGACTAACTTGCTTAGCACATGGGCAGTGAATTTGATTTACAATAAATGCATGTAAAAAGAGAAAATGTAGGCATGAGATCATCCGGCAAGGGGATCAAGACCAAGATTGGAAGTGAGTGTGCATTGATAGTATGATAATTCTCTCACTAGAACAAAATTAAGTTTATAGCAAGCCTAAAATGTTTAATTAAGTATCCTAATAGAGTATTTTATATGCAATAAGTTTAAGCGTCTTATCTAAAAGTGTGGCAATAAGTATATAGAACAAATTTGGGTGTTTTAACAAGTTCTTTTAGAAAGTTACGTCATACAAAATAGCTAATATGACACTTTATTTTAAAAATGTCCTAAAAACTATTAAAACGCCAAAAAACATCCTATGAACCGTCTGTTGAGTAATGCCTGAGTCGCAGCATCCAGGTCTAACCCAAATTGAGCCTTCGTGCATATGCCTAGAAAGATAGGCCGACTGTCAAGCCCACTCCTCAAGCTGGCAAGGAAAGAAATGACATAAAGGGAGGTCCTAACTGAATGAATTGAGGTTGAGTAAAGCCATTCGCTCGAGAACAATCTTGTGATTGGAATTGGATATGGGATTGGATACTATTGCAACATTTTTATATAGAACTTTTTATTTTGTGGTTATATAAAGCATTCTATTAAGGCATTAAAGATTTTAGACATCCTATAAACACTTATTTGTTGTAGTGTGTTATATTGATCCTTTTAATGAGCACCGCAAGGAATAGACCTTTAGATATTTCATCTTTTTTGTATCATATTTTTTGTTGCTACTTTAATATCTGATATTGGGATGAGTTAAGTTTGGAATATATATATATATATATATATACAGAATATAGGAGATGTTATAGTAACACAAAAGACTCCCATTCATAAAGCAAACCATACGAAAATATCTGAACATACCGTGGAATGCCATAAATGGGAAAACGAAATTGCAACAGAGTTACCAAATATTTTATTTGATGGCTGAGCATCCCTCCAGCACTCAACAGAGTAGACGTCCAAACCAAAAATAGTATAATTAACTGGAGCAGACATAATAGATCCCATGATGAGAAATATAATTAATGGCACAATAATTGCTATCTAAGAAACAGATGGAGAATGAATAAACAACTTGATATCCTATGTGCTTCTTCACTTGGGTGGTTTTGGTATTCAAGACCTTTTTCATTCCAATAATTGAACATGATGAATCTTTTTCTTCTTTTACCTTATTCTGTCTATTTGATAGATCGACGAGCACTTCACACTGTCATGCCAACCGCAGCTTTTGAATCAATTTTGGGGTTAGGGCGCTGTTCGCCGCTGTGTTTGCCCTTTGTTTATGCTAACATCTAATGGTTGCACGCGTCATCAAATTCAAGCATCCGCTGGTTCTATACAGTGTTGGAGTTGAAGTGACTCCCAGTATGGCAATTCAAAGTTCATCCCAAACCCAACTATTTTTCTTCGTCTTCCTCAAAGTTAGAAATTGAAGGATGAAGTGTGGGGTTTGAAACCTTATTCCAAAACAACTAAAAGGCGTCATATTTACCAGCAATTTTAAGTGGAACAAACTTTGATCGAAAAAACAAAGACAAAGACAACTAACAACCAAATACAAAATAATGAAAGAAAACGTAAATAAATCACTAATTTATCGTGTAGTATACGTCCAAACACGAATGGAAGATCTTTATGAGCCAAAGAGAAACCGAAAACTGAAGAAAATATTATAAACTCAATCATAATTTGATGCAAACTCCCAAAGATAGTGGCAACCTTTTTATGCGTTTTTTCCATCAATTTACTCATAAC